TTTAAACTTTTGTTCTTCTCTATGATTTTCTTAATGCGGTCTTCTTGGTATTTTTTTAAATCTTTCTTTATCTCTTTTCTTATGGTTTAGTTCAGTTCGGTAAACTCCACTGTATTTCTTTTGTTATCATTCAGTAGTTATCGTCGTTTTTTTAGCATATCTTGTGATTTAGCGTGTGTTGAGTGTAGTATTCTTACATTCATACATTCACAAGAATGTAAGAATACTACACTCAAAAACAGTTTATAAGAAATTACATAATAATTGTGATAAAATCCAACTTGCTGATGAAATTATAAAATTGATAAATTAGAGATGGTAAACGCTTTTGTAGGGCATTTTACTACTTGCCCTAAAAATAAAATCACAAATATTTTTTAAAATATCAATTTTGATATCGTTATACCACACAACATGTAGATAGATTCTTTTATTTTTTTTTCCTGCAGATGTGTATATAAGCAGAAAGAATTTTGACATCTGCTTATACTTATTTCGACCTTAGATCTCCCACAGCGACATTATGCAGCATCTCTGGATTGAAAACAATTTCTTCCGTCATAAAAGTATAATTATAAAAATAATTATATGTATAGGAAATTACGCCATTTAATAACAAACTTAGTAAAAAGAAAGAGCAGAAGACAAATATTTGAATTTAGTTTCGAAAGTAAAAAATTTTCGTATTTCTTTCTACTAAAAAATTTTTAGATATTAATACAGGTGGAGAAATTTTCGTTTATTAAAAATTAATGGATGAAAATAATTTCTATCCTTGTGCGATCGGTACTCACCGGAGGGACCGCAGACGTTCGGATACAATTAGCGTCTCTTAGCAAAGACAATGACGTCGACTTTGCTAAGTATTGCCAGATTGGGGTATTTCCCCCCATTTTTGGGGTAATTTCAAAGCGTCTGGGGGAATTTTTATGAGCTAAAACGGATGGGGGATTTTTTGGGGGAAAAATTGTGGAGGATTTTGTGTGGTCAGTGGTCATAAATTTGCGAATGTACATAGAACTGGAAGAAAAGGCTATTTTATTCATATCTAGTTTTTTCGGTAGATACCTTTAAGGCACCCAAAAAATGTACTTATCTAAATATTTTACAAAAATATAGGCCTTTAGTTTTGATATATAGATCATTTTATGTTAATAGACCACCGTCGTGTGGCCATGTATGTAAGTTTTAGAAATATGTACTTCCATATATCGGCTGTGGATTAAAGTGACGTTAAATGCAGAATATAACTAAAACGGAAGGCTAAGAAATTTAGAAAAATAATGAGTTAATACAAATGGGATTCACAGCCTCGTCGTTCCAATTCTACTCATAATCAATGACGTCCGTTTTTCTAATCACGTTTTTTAAATTTAAGTTTAATTTTTAAGTATAAGCACAGCCATCTAGTGACATCACTGGTGACATCAGTTTTTATAAATCGTGAAGTAACATTGTTGTCATTGCTTTAGTATGAAAAATTATTCTAATCCATTGTTTTAGCATAAATAGTATACAAAATTATAGTACAGTGTGTTCCAGTCTACAGTCTTTTCAAATTTATAAAAATTGTAATTATGCGACAAAATTTTAAGTTTGGGGGATTTGAGCTTAAATTTGGGGGAATTTCAGTTTCCAAGTGGGGTATTTAAAAAATCGCATCTGGCAACTCTGACTAGGTACCTGACTGTAAAAATTCACTGTAGCATGCCAATGACCATTAGTTGTCGACGCATTAAACTCAATAACAAAATATACTAGTTATTAAAAGTTTTATCGTTAAATCTGCATTTTTGTATTTTTAAATATTACTTTAATTACATTTTGTTCAAGGTTTTATAATTGTAAAAATTGCGATGGACTAGGAAATTATAGTTTGCTACAATAAAAATGATATAGATGCGAAATATAATGCACAATTTCTTGTGGAAAGTAAGTTTCAACAAAAGTTTTTTACAAAGTTAGATAAACTGAGTTTAGTGAATACACTAATACAGTTAGCTCTGTTTTTTCTTATTTTGATTTTTTCCCGCATTGTCACAAATACATCTTAAAACAGAAAATATTCACATGCAGTTGAGTTCTTGGTTATTATTTAACATGGCTATCTTTTAAAAAATCTTGTTTGATTACTTATAATAATGATGAATAGCTAGAGATATAAGTTATGTACCTATCAATTTTCAAGTATCACATGTCCACTTACTGCTTGTAGATCTTAGCCGATCGGTTCATAAATTAAACAACTGGCGGTACATTCTTTGTAGATTCTAATTAATCCCTAATTCATTGTAAGTTTATTGTGAATTTATGTTCATTTGTGTCATTGAATGAAAGAAAGATTGCTTTGTATTTAATAGTTACATGTCTTTATCTTAATTAGATACCACGATATACCTATTTCAATAGACTGTCTTTTGTTCCTTTCATAACTTGTGGTCACGTTTAAACTGACAAATACTTTTGACTAAGATGATTTTAGAAGATTATTTGAGATTATTCATATCTTCCTCTTGTCTACTTGTCGAGTGGAGATATTATCGACGTGAAGTATACGGGAAAAGAATTTTGTTGTTTTATTTTTAAGAGATCGATGTCTCTTAGAAAAGTTTGAATAACTTGTCATCAAGTACCGACTTATGGAAGCTTAAAAAGCCTTAACAATTTATGATTTATTTTTCTATGGCAGTAGATGACACCGTGTTATCCACATATGTACACCGAAAGTCCAGTGGTAATAAACAGACCCGAGATTATAATTTATCTTAACATATATACCGGGATATGACGGTTTTCTACTCAGAACTCTCCTCAGAACTTTTATTTAAGGAGTCTAAAATTTTAACAGTAGGTAGAAACTCTGTGGTTATCACCATAACTCGGAAGTGGCAAAACTTTACAAAAAATAACACAATAGTCGCTAGAGTAGTGTATTTTAAGGTATTTCGTTAGTTTTTTTTTTTTTTTTCGAAAAGTCAATATTTTAAATCATTTACAGACAAACGTTTATGTGAAAGTGTTGATGAGACCGTTGAGTTAGTTAGCAGTACACTTGGTGTTGGGAAATCTACGATTTACAGAGTTATTAAAGAAGAGAAATGTGGTAGTTTTCAAATGCCATGTAATGCTCCAGGGAAACCAAAATTTTAAATAGAATATCATTTTAAAGAAGGACTTCGACGGAAAGTGCATGAAATCATTTTAAAGAAGGACTTCGACGGAAAGTGCATGAATTCTTCTTTAGACAAGAATTTCCAACATTGGATAAAGTTCTTGTCTCAGTTCGAGATGATAAGGATTACCCAGAAATGAGTCGAAGTGCGTTATGGAAACTTTTAAAAGAAATAGGCTTCCGCTGGAAAAAGAATCCCAGAAAGTCTATTTTATTAGAAAGAAGCGATATTGTCATATGGAGAAGATATTTTCTAAGAACCATAAAGGAAATGAGAAACCAAAACAGAAAAATATTTTATCTTGATGAAACATGGATCAACGAGGCTCATACACCAAATAAATTTTGGCAGGATGAAACTGTTACAAGTCAAAGGCACGCTTTTGTAAATAACTTATCTACTGGTTTAAACCCATCATCAGGAAAGGGACGCAGGCTGATAATAGTACACATTGGCAGTTCAGACGGTTTTGTTGAAGGTGGTTAATTAACTTTTGAATCAACTCGTACCGGTGACTACCATGAAGACATGAACGCTGATGTCTTTCAAGAATGGTTCGAACAAATGATAGATCTTCTTCCTAAGAACTGTGTAATAGTAATGGATAATGCAAGTTATCAGTCCAGACTTATAGAAGGACTGCCCACAACCAAGTGGTTAAAAAAAGACTTGCAGAATTGGCTGAGTTCAAAAAATATTACGTACCATCCCGGATCTATAAGAAAGGAACTTTATTCGTTGTGTGCCTTTCATAAAGAAAAATTTAAAAAATACGAAATTGATGAAATTGACAAAAATCGTGGAATGACAGTACTTAGATCCCCACCATATCATTGTGAATTAAACTCGATTGAACTAGTATGGGCACAGATAAAGAGTGAAGTTTCAAGAAAAAATACCACTTTTAAAATTCATGATGTTAAACAGTTGTTTTTGGAGGCCGTAAATAATGTAAAACCTGAAAACTGGGAAAAGGCAGTAAATCACACTATTAAAGAAGAGGAAAAAATTGTGGAAGCTGAACAATATTACTGATAAAATGATCGAGCCAGTTATTATAAATCTTGGTTCTGAAAGTTCATCTTCTGAATCTGATTTGGATTTGTAACAAGTAGCTGTAAGTTTTATATTAATATTTTTATTCATCTATTTAACATACCTTAGACGGTTTTAAAAACTCTTTTTCTCTTTTGTAATTTTTAAAAATTAAAAAAAATGTGAATTTTTTAAAACCCTTTTTAATGTAGGCCAGTCAGTTCTAATATAGTGTGTGATAAAAGAGGTCACTTTTGTTTACATACACATAACACTTTATAACACTGAAATAATTCATTAATTTTTTACAATTATTCAAAGTAATTTTTCAATTAATCTTGAGTACGCCCATGGAGTGGTCGGAGGTACCAGTTAAAATTATGCTAATTACTCTCTCGTTCATAAAAATAAACTATAGTATGTGATCATATATATTCCCATAATATTCAAGTGTAAATATTTCATTTTCATGCATAATCTTATAAACAAAATTAATTCTTTTTATAAACAAATAATATCTTTGCAATAATTAAAATGTAACGCAATTTTTAACTAAGTTTATTTTTTCCATATGGCATCTTACGAATGAGAGCAGAACCGCTTTTAAAAGTTGATGGAGGAAGCATTAATAGATGATGAGAAAGAAGAACGTTTCTGTGATGATAATGATCACGAAGAAGAAGATTATCTAGAAGAAAGAAGTGATAATTCAGAGGGCCAACAACGTTATTTGATTTTATATTCTTTTATTCTTTGAATAAAGATTTTGATCTTTATAAATAAATATAGTTACCACAAAAAATAAATATTTATTAAAATACACTTAAATAACTATTTAACAGATTAAAGACTTTGTACATTTTAGCATTTCTTTAACAAATAACTGACTATCTATATCCTCTATAATAACAACATTAGGTTGATTCATCTTCAGATGATCTAGTACCACCTGTCCTCTTGTGAGATCGCCGTGAAGCTCAACAGACGCATGGTGAATACTAGATTTAACAATGTGCTCCTCAGGGTTCGTAAAAGCGAAGGTCAGGAATGTGTCACAGGGAGTCCAGTGTTCCCTATTGTGTTTTTTGTATATAATTTCTTCGGCTTTGGTTAATACCGTAAGTTCAGGTGTCGCGTTTCCCAATGCTTCAAACCTCCATTCCTACAACAAAACAACCAATAACTAACATATTATGTATCATATTAAACGAATTATAAAAAATAAAAAAATTGTTAAAATAAACCAAGACATCCTAAATATAGCAGATTTAGATTTGAAATGAAATATATGCATATACATTTCTGTACAATCATCAATTTATCCTCTTGAACGCATCTTTTAATGCAAGATTAAACAATTTTGAAGAGATAGTGTCTTCCTGTCTAACTTTGTTCTTATTTTGCTTGTTGTTAGACATTCAGCTATGTTTATTTACATGTTGCAATAACTTTTATGTCATTATCATTATGCAACCTCTTCTGTTCACTGTTGGACATAGATCTCTCCCATTTTTCGCTACTCTTTATGGTTCTGTGCGTATTGTTGGCATTTCTTTGATATTCGTTTAATGTCGTCCACCCAGCGTGTGGTCGTCCTCTGCAGCGTTTTTGTATTTTAGTCTCGCTATGTGATCTGCCCAATTCCATTTCACCTTGTCTATACGTTCGATGATATCTGTTCTTTTTCTTAGGTTTTGGTTCCTTAATTTGTCTTTTTTTGTCACGCCGAGAATTGATCTTTGCATGCGCCTTTGTCCCACTCGCATTTTTAGTGCTGTTGTTTTTGTGAAAATGATAGTTTCTGCGCTATATGTCATAATAGGAAGAACGCATTGGTCAAATGCGTTAGGTTAGGTGTTCGCTGGGAATAAAATTTGTCATAAATTTGGTCTTGCTGATGTTCATTTTTAGACCTATTGTTGAAGATATATTTCCTAATTCTTGTAGCATTTGTTGTGCTACATATCTTATGTAATCAGTACTATATCATAGGCAAAACGCAGATGATTGAGCATTTCTTCGTCTATTTTTATTCCTCTATTTTCCCACTTTAGCATTTTAAATGCGTATTCAAGGACCTTTATAAATAATTTATATGAGAAAGTGTTGCCCTGTCTCACACCTCGCTTTATATGAATTCTCTGGTGGTATCATATAGTCTGGTGGTATATAGGTTACACACATTATGGCGTTTTAGTACAATGTGTGTACTAACTTTGTAAGCCTTTAATATATTTTACTATTGTTCAGAGCAGTGATAATGCTCTTCAATTCCACGGTATCGAAGGCTTTGTGAAAGTCTACGAAGATAATTACCAGTGATCTGCTATATTCTATAGATTTTTTTATTAAGGTTTTTACTATTTTTAGATGATCGTTTGTTCCGAATTTTGAACGGAAGCCACCTTGTTCTTGGGCCTGGTAGAAATCCAACTTTTTTTCTAGTCTCGTCGTAATTACTCGGGTAAACATTTTTTAGATGTGGTTCAATAAGCTGATTGGTCTATAGTTTTCTAGGTGCGTCTTGTTTCCGTTTTTGTGTAATAAACTTGTTACTGCATTGTTCCATTTTCCGGTATAAAACAGTCTGTTACACAAATGTTGAACAAAATTGTTATTTGGTTAAGAACGGCTAATATATAACATTCAGGTTTAAGACCCATTTAGCCAGACAATTGGTTGAATACGTAAAAATAATCTCCTACACTTTCTTTAAATTCATGACAATTTTCTAACCGTTGGTTCATTCGTTCATTCACTCAATTTCCTAACTTTCTCATTGAAAACACTATTGGGTGACTACACAAAAAGAATTGAACAGGAACACATGCTTCACGCTAAGGTGCCTTTCATAGCGACTATTTTTTAACACAAACAATACAGGTTAAAGGTAAATGACATAAAAGGAAAGACAATGAGAAATACAACCACTAACGTCCTGTCCTACCATTTCGGATTCACACAACACTGAAAAAGGCAGTTTAGATTTTCCGTTTGGTACGTTTGATAAATTCCCATAAAATTGATCTTATAGTTGAATTCCGAATACCTAAACAGAGAACAGAAGCAACGTTCTGCCGCAGTATGATTTTTTGTTGGGAGATAGCTTGAAATAAAAATTTTGTGGTTTCTTGGTTATACCACATTGAAACATCCAGTGGTTAAGGACGTCATATCTGCCATTACATTCACATCTATCAATTTCGGAAATAGGTATTTTTATTTTATATAGGTAAGCGTTTACTGTAGCATGTTCAAAAAGGCATCTAACGTACATGGTATAAATTTTTTAAGAGATGGGACTTCTGTCATTTGGAAAAGTAGTTGGAAGAGTTGGATATATACCGCAGTATGTATTTTTGCTATTGTTAGTGAAGGATTGCTACTCAATTTCCCAACTAATGGGAAATTGAAACTATGTTCCATTTATGCAACTTGTTGTACTTTATACCCACTAAAGTAGCGTCTTTAGCCAAATGGTGTACTTTTTCATTGTCTGGAATATTAGAGTGACCTTTGACCCACACAAAGTTTACAATTCTTTTTAAAGAAGATAAGATCCTTAGCTTTTCAAACGCATTGACAATTAGTCTGTTGGTATATATGTGTTTAGAGAAGTGTCTTAATGCGAGGAGGGCCTACTGTGAGTCAGATAATTATATATCGTCAAAATATATTGTGCTATTAATTATCCAATCCAACGCCTTGACAATGGCTACCAATTCAGCTGTGAATATATAGCAATCTGATTTTAGTTTGTACTGAAAATAATTTTGAATAATGTCTATGTAAATGGTACAGCCAACACCATCAGGCGATTTTGAGCCATCGGTATAAATTTTACAAGAATGCTTAGAGTCTTCCAGCTTGTTCTGTACTACTAAATCTTCGTAAACAATTAAAATAGATGAAGGAATTACTACAGCAGGTTTATATTCATATAGCCAATCATAATTGGAGCCAAAAAATGGAATCCCTTCTCCATTGAATGAATATTGTGATAATTTGGAAAAAGCAACAGCTTGGAGTTGGAGAGTTTTTATTTGCCCACCATTTGTTTGTTATATTAAAACAAAGAGACAAGATATCTTTATTAGATGTCTTTGATTATGTATCTTGAAAACGAAACCATAAATGATTTGGAATAAGATGTAAGATATCTTATCCTTTCGAATTTATAAAGTATTTAAATTAATAAGAGTATATAAAAATTATTTATATGTGTTGACTTACCAGTGGTATTTTTGGTAAAAGACAAGTTTCCCAAGGTAAAACATAAATTGGACATTTTAAATTTTCAAGTACTATATAAGCTGCCTCTGGGTCTACATGAAAATTAAATTCGGCAGCCCTTGACACATTTCCCACTCCTGAAAAAAATAGAAAACATCATAATAAATAAATAGCGGTAACTGAGATAAAGTAATATGACTAACAATTGGTATGCGACACATCTATCGCTACATTTTATTTTACCGACATACACCAAAACGCGAAACCTTAGTGATATTTATTGACCTTTTGCTGGTTTATGTCACAACAAAGAATTGGATACGATTATAGAAAATTTACACAAAAAAGCTTCAGATGTGATACAAAAGCAAACAAAAAGCTATAAGAAGAGATGGGTTTATAGTATGGAATATCAAACTTGAAAAAAAAACAAAATTAAAAAAATTAAGAGAAAATTAAGATTTGATTTTAAGTATAGTGCCTCTGTATATTCGCTTATACATAATTCATCCTAACAGTACTTATCAGAAAGACTATTACAGAAGCTCTGCATGTGAAAACACATCTATCCCGTCGAAAAGAATCAACAATAAAATGGCTTCAGTATGGACGCTATAGCGACATCTGATAATAAATCACGAAAGTATAAATCCGAAAATTATTGACGAAACCAAAATCCAAATTTTGCTTTAATCTGTATCCTCTAAGAATTGCAAGGCAAAATAAACAATGCTAAGTGATGTAAATCTCAACTATCTTTTTTTATTTTGATATACTCTTTATCGAGTACTAGAAACCAATTCGCCAAGAATTTTTCTCTAAATTAATGGATATGTTGTAAAATGCAACCTTTAGATTCCCAATTTCCTCTCTTTACATCTTTTAGCATCGTCTGTTTTGCCTTGCAATTCTTAGAAGGCACAGATTTAAAATCTGAATTTTGGTTTCGTCAAAAGAAATCTTCTAAATTTTACTTTTGTGATTGAAAGAAAAATTAGGCTTATCGAGATGGATATATAAGAAAAAATACAGAATACGATCTCACATCATCCTAAGAAACACGAAAAAAAAAAAGAAATATATCAAGATAGGAACTTAAAGAAACTCTTTTTTGTTACAAAATAGAAAAGTCACTGAAACAGATAAGATAGCCATAAAGCTTTTAAAATACGAATACAGCTTACTGAAGTATTTACTTTTTTACATTTTTTACATTGTTAACCTATTAAAAATTAGAGAGTGCTGAAAATAATGAAAAATACATGAATATCGGATATTTAAGAAAAGAGACAAAGGAAATTGCAAAAACTACCGAAAAATAATCCTATTAAACCTAGCACATTAACTGTAAGCCAGAATGGTAACCCCAAGAGTCAAAACGATTGCAGAAGTACTATTACAAGAAGAAGAAAACAGATTCAGACGCCTCAGATCGGGCACATATGGTACTTACGTTAAACCTATTATTAGGAAAGAGGATTCCACTTAGAAATTTGTATCGCTTTTATAGATTATTGGAATTAATGGAAAGTAATTGAACTTTAAGGAAATCGGATCATTCGACGCAGTATATGGGTTGAAAAAAATTTCTCTGAACTGATTTTACCTGCCATTGCATTATATTTAGTAGGTTGTAAAACCTATATTTGGGACCTCTCATTACTTGTCCAACTTTCTATCCTTGATGCTTTCTATAATCTCGGTAGTCTTGCTGATACAGTCTAGTATTGTGGAGTTTGGAATCTTCTCCACTTAAGAAACATTTAACATTCTTGTGTAGCACCACATATAGAAAGCCTCGGGCCGATTTAAATCACTTTCATATACAGTTTAAGACTCAAGACTATACAGTAAGACCGAGATCACGTAGCAGCAAAGGTTGCAGATCCTTCTGCCAATTTTAGGTCTCTGTTACATAATATCATGGACAATCTTCTAAAAGCGGCGCTGATCTGCTCAATTGTGGATCTAATTTTACCGTGGCTCCCTGCGTTACAGTATCCAAGTTAAACAATTTGATCAACTTCCTCCTGCATATAAAAAATTATTGATGACTTCACCGTTTACTATAAATCCTTGTTTTCCTGAAAGTGCATTACTTAAAATTCTTTCGGGGTAAAAGTTAAAAAGCAGTGGCGACAAGGAGCATCACTGCCAGACTCTTCTTTTAATATTCCAATTTTAATAAGCCAATGTCTCTTAGAACTTCGATAAGTATAGAGTGCTTAGCACGATCAAATGATTTTTCAAAGTCAATATAACAACATTACATGTCTGCAGATATCACAACATCTTTGAGTAAGTACTGTCGTCCCAAACAATGCCTCTCTCGTTACAAACCCGCTACGGAAACTAAACTCTGTGTCACTTAGGTACCTCCTATTTATTGTAGATACTGACATGTATTACCGTTGGAAAAATGTTCAATAAATCGCTTAACAAACTGATGATTCTCTAATTGGCACAGGTTTTTGCTATTGTTTGCTTAGGTATAAACAATGAATTGGACTAGGTGTCCGCTGGGATAAATGGTACTGAAAACCCATGATATTAAAGTTTTAGTCCCTAAATAATTGCTATCATTTATAAACTTTGTAATTTTATCAGGTTTTAACACTCTCTGTGGTATTACCACAGAGAGTGTTATTAGGAACCCGTCGCAGTTCACGAATTAATTATATCGTCTTCGAATAGGTTTATAACATCGGCTATTAATTGACACAAATTATCTGACTGTTCAGCTCTAGCTTACATATTTAGCAGTAGCCTTGCTGGTATAACCATGCATTTTGTCTTTTTTAGGGAAATTGTCATGTTCAATTTTCTGTCGATTATATTAAATTGGTGCAGTATACATTGTAAATCATCTACACTTTAAGAAATTGGTATTGCATTGTCTCCCTAGCAAATTATTATAAAGTTGTTTTTCTCTTATTTGGTATCCTTTTTTCGTTCTTACTTTTTTTTTATTATTTTATTCATGATCAGGTTGAATAATAGAGGAGTCAGGAAATCTTAGTCTTTTTTCATTGTCAGCTTCAATTACGTCAGTTACTTCATCTTCTATTTTTAATTTTATTGTGTTGTTCTGGTAGATATTTGCAACCGTTTTGATTATTCCCAGAAGCATCTCTTTTGCTTACAATACGTAACAATTTTTACAAGATATTATATTTAACTAATTTAGAACAACACACAGAATATTGATACTGCACAAATTTAACTACTGTCGTTGTCGATGAGAGAATTGCTCAAACGACGAACATATTAACAATATTAACGTTTTTAAATTTGTTTTGAATAGAATAAAAATATCAGTAAAAAAGATTAACCAAGTGTATTTAAAAAATCGAGAAAGAAAGAAACGAGTACATGGCACTTGCATGTTGTAAATATTTTCCTAAAAAAATGTGAGCAAAATACTCATATAGCCAAAAACATCGGGTTAAATGAAAAACGATAATCCATTTCATAAAAATTTGAGTAGGACGATAAAAGAGTAATGAATTCAAGATAATTGAGAATATTGACAGTGTAAAGAGCTAATAAAAAATGAGATCTAACTTTTGTTTTTCTTCTTCGCGTGCCATTTTATGGCATCTGGCATACGAACAAAAAAAAGAAGGCCCCTGACAAGCACTAAAACATAAGTCTTTTAAGTGCTGCTATGCAATTTTTGACAAAGAATAAATTATTGATAATATGTGTAACAGACAACATAAAATGAGACGTTCAAGCAAATTTATTATATTTCAAAATGAAACCTTAAACATTTTACCTTAGTTTCTTGATATAATATGCATATGACAAAATGTCTGTTAAATGAACATGTGCTAACAGAGTTGAAGAACTGCTGAAAATAAGCAGGAGTCTGCTTGAACTTCCTTATTGAAGTTCCTTCTGTGCTTCCCTAACATTGGGGCGGATTCAAGGAAACTTAAGCTGTATACTCTGTAGTAGATAAGCTGAAACTGTCAAATATATCTTCAATGACTGCGAGGAATTAGGTCACATGCTGCAGCTACTTTTTGATGGGTATCAAGTAACTCTTAAATCATATGGTGTCCATATTTAAAACTGTGCGATAGTATAATGTTCCAGAATGCTTGAGTAAGAGTCGTAAACAAAAGGAAAACGTACAGCTATCTGACTAAAATACAATCGGTTCATAACAGACGGCTTGCAAACAACAAAAAAAAAAAATGCAAATCAACTATAAAAATGGTCTTTTAATCCTTTTCTTTTTTCGATGCCATGAACAACTTGGTTCTTGGTTTTCAGCTAATTAGAATTGTTGCTCGGTACTGCGTGTTCCTTTCCAATCGCGAATGTTCTTAAGCCATGACATCTGCTTCCTTCATATTCCTCTGCGGACTCGATCGTAGTTTTTATTATAACCTGATTAATTCTGTACTGATTTCTTCCAATAACATGCCTTTGGTGTACAATTTGTCTTATTTTAATATATTTTAAAACCTTAAGAACGGCACTTGCTATTTTTATCACTTCTCGCCGACTGATCGTATCAGCTTTCAGAGTCCAGGTCTCTGCTTGTCAGGGAAGCACTGAAACTCCTTTAAGTGCTACTAAAGAGTAAATTATTGATATTATGTGTAATAGAGAACATAAAATGAGAGTCTCAAGCAAAATTAATACATTTCAAAATAAAAGCTTTTTAAACTTTGAGGGTATACAAGGCAACTATCGAACACGGTGATTAATTTAATCTTGCCCAAGTACTTTCGATCAATAGATCATCTTCAGGGGCATCTGAAATAAGCCAAGAAACGTTTTTTATTAAAAAGGAAAATTAAATCACTTGGATAAAAACTCCAAGTTTATGGTTGAAAAAAATTTTTTATATGTGATAAACGTTTATAGACTTACTTCGTCAGTTGTGGCCTATCCGACATAGTAGAATGTCATAAATGTAAAATTTGGACATAACAATACAAAATACAATACACTAAGACAAACAAACACTTTAAAATTTATGAGGAGAAGCTACATGTTGTATAGAAGCCGGAGACAGAATGGGCTCCCGGTCTGACGGAAATGTAGAGACGACATGTGACAAATGACAGCTTGTGAAGGGCAGTTATGTGATCTGCACCTTTCAAAATTCTATGACACTAAG